GTGGGAGGATCCAACTTAGGTGTCTTTCTCTGGTCCCCTGGAACAACCTCTATGGTCTCAAGCAGTTCTTCGGTAGACTTGCTTTCTTCTTTTTGTGCCATCAAATATTTAGGCAGAGAATTCTATGATTGCTATTGGATTCTTTGAGCTTTTGGCCTCTTTGAGCTCCTTTCAAGGTTATAACATAACACTCCTTTGTCGCGGCCTGGTCCCCCAATAGGTTAATGACCTCTTTACCGTTCGGAGATAAACACCTCATAACCAGATGCAAAGTAGATGGCACCCCGTTCATTCGATGTATCCACCCTCTTCCCATGATGAGATTGTAGAACGGGTGAATTTTAGTGAGGATGAAGTTTCCTTTAAACTTTCTTTTTGCAGCAGTGATAAATCTATTACTCCGATGGGATCTACCCTTGTGCCATAAAATCCTAACAGTAAGCTAGAGGTGGATTTAACTGGCGCGGGGTTGATCTCCAGCTGCTCGAAGACGACCTTGGTTTTGATGTTGAACTGTTGGGGTCCACCAGCACTCTCTTGACTGGGTAGTTAGCCACCAAGAGGCTAATGACCAAAAGATCTTCATGGGGGAGTTGGACCCTAGATAAGTCCTCATCTCCAAATCCGATTATGATATTTCCAGACACGATGGTGTTCACAATGGCTAGCTTCCTCAGCTTGTGTACTACCTTTAGCCTGGATCGGTACACCTTTTCTAATTCTTGATCCTCTTTTGGTTTTTCGTGAATTGCACGGATCACCTTTATGGGATTGCCTTCTACCCTTCTGGGGTTGGCGTTCGTCTCCCTCTGCCTCGGCTTTTCTATCGGTATAAGATAATCCGCCAATTCACCCCTCAATATCATTGACTCCACCTACCTTCTGAGGGTTCTGCAATCATTAGTGGTGTGTCTGTAATCTCTATTGAAGGTACAATGTTTATTTTTGTCCCTCTGCTCCAGGGGTTGATGGATTGGTGGTGGGGATTATAAACTCGCCTTGTTTTCTTGAAAAAACAAGGCTAGTGTAGTTTTGAGGGGGGTTACCTTTTCTTCGGTCCTTTGCCTCTTTTTTTTTTTTTTTTTTTTTTTTTTTTTTTTTTTTTTTTTTTAAAGTTGGTAAAGCTGAAACTGAAGCTGAAACAGAATGATTCCTCGGATTTTTAAAACCTAAAGTTCTTTCCTTCGGTTTGTTTTCTACTGAGATGAGAGTAGCATATTGAACTCTATTAATTACGTTCTCCTCGAGTTGTACACATACATGTGCCCTGGCATTCAGAGTTAGCATATCCAGAGAAGAGTACTTGATCAAAGAAGTATGGAATTTAGTGTCTTGGATCATGGCGATCTTGAATGCCTTCACGGCCGTTGTAGGGTGGCAATCCGGTATCTCCGAGGCTTCTATGTTATATCTAGTTAGGAGATCTTGTAGCTTTTCTCCCCTTCTTTGCCTGATGGTAAATAGGCTAGAGGTTGTTTTCTTCTTCTTATTGCCGCAATACTCCGGGATCGACTTATGCGTCCTATTCTTAAACCATTCCAACGCTGCCCCTGTCAGACTGGTAGGGAATGCCTTACATATGAGTGAATCGTTGTGGTTGTCCATGGCCCTCTTTTGGGAATAATGGCCCAGGTGCTGGAAGGGTCCCCTGTTCTATCTAACAATGTGAAGACCGGCATTGTAAACTTTCTTGGCGTCTCGACATAGTAAATCTCATCAGTGAAGGGGGTCTTTATCAATGAAGACTTATACGCTTTGGCCATCTCTCATAGCCTTTGTATCCTCAGTATATTTCTTTCGTCGAAGTGGGCTGGGACACCATTGGACCACACCGTGAGTTTGCGGCTTGACTCAGCCTGCTCATCATGTGTCTGTTAGTGGGGTTGATTCTCCAACGCTTTTGCCTCGGTTCTCACCCTCTCTTATCTTTGATCTTCATTGGTTTGAGCTTCTGCTGCTCGAGGTGTGGCAGGGTTAGGGAGGTCTCCCTGAGCCTCGTCCAGTATGTTAGCCTAAAGCTGTGGTGGTTGTACCGCGATATACTCTATGGTTGCCTAGAGAGCGTCGTTCCATTGCTGAAGCTGTGTAATTTGAGATGTGCTAGCTTCGTTTGCTTGGCGTAGTGCCTTAAACTATTGTATGAACTCCTCACGCATTTTCTGCTTGAGTTCCATCTGCTGATTAACTGTAACTTCTCCTGTCGCCATCCCGAAGCGAAGTCACATATAAGATCGGTAACTACTTATGGGAGTATATCTCTATACGCTTCCCATAAATGATGCCAAAGTGTAGGTGCAAAAATTCACTAATTTTCAAAAGTCAAAGAATGATTGCTACACACTCAATGAAAACAATAAACATGAAAGAGTAAGATCAAATTGTATATCTTTATTAAAGGTTTAAGCTTCTATTTATACAGAATCGTAGAAGAATTAGGGTTAGCCTCGCATTGCTTGCCCCACACGTTCCTTACGTAGTTGTTGGTTTCCTTCTACAATTATTTCATGTAAGAATTCTACCATAATTACAACTTTGGTGGTTGGTGAATTACACCAATGAGTTTTCTCCATCGTGGATCATAACTTGGGCTGGCTTATTTACTTGGCGGGCTGAAAGATGGTGTCTTCGCTTGCTTTGGGCCTGTTTCATTGGGCCCTCATAATTGGGCTGCCCAAGAGAATTTTTATGTAAAATTCTTGATGATGAGGTGGTTGATTTTAATTCGACATCGATATTTTTTTCTGCACAACAATTTTTTTTTTTTTTTTTTTTGGGTTTCCCCAGGTTCATGCTTGTCTTGTATCATTTTAATTTGTGTCTTTTTCTGTCTTTTCATAAAATTATTTTTAAATAATGTGGAAAATATCTTAGTAGGGACAACTTGGGTAAAGTCTACCTTAAAAATGTTGGGTATGGCTTATTTACACAATTTCAAATTCTAGACGCGCACTGTAAGTATAGTAGATGGATGTTTTTAGCACTTAATCCCTATATTATCAATGTAATTGTTGAAGACCGATGTAATTGCTAAATAAAATGCGTCCCAAGCCGAAATATCACAAGGGTTAGAATGGCAGTTCTCGCTCATTAGGAGGTACCAAATAAACGACTACTTGAATCGGGGTTTTGCGTATAAAGATTCCACTGACCTGTAAAAAGTGGTTCTAACCCGTGGGATGGTAATACATCTAAGAAATTATTTCATCGAATGTACTCCTTTTTGGATACAAGAATAGTGACATGAACTAAATGCTCTGTCCAAGCCAAAGAACTTACTCTGAAGAGTGTCGCAAGTTCTTTTCAATTTCTCTCGTCCTTTCCACACCATTCATCCTACTATTGATGCATTAAATCTTATCAATGCAATTATTAAAGATAGTTGTAATTATATTTAACTAATCACATTAACCTCCATTTGTTTGGAAGTAAAATATTTTTCAGAATTTTTTATTTTATTTTCTGGTGTTTGGTTGTCGTAAAATATTTACGAAGAAAAAATACATTAAAATTTAACAAAAATAATTTATCCATAAATTTTTAGCAAATTATTTTACATGTTCTCCGTCTAATGGACTTGACTTTAATTTCAACATAGGCCTTTACCAAACACCAACAAAGAAAAAATAAAAAAATATTTTACCTAAAAAAGAAAAATATTTTACGAAAAAATATTTTATGTTGAAACAAACGGAGCCTAAAATTTAATCCTTTCTCAGTAAATTTCACCTCATCCTTTCCATACCATTCATGCAACTTACACATTGAACCTTAGCACATGCATTAAATAAACTTTTGAACCAAAAGTAATGAATAATCCAACCAAATCGAGTATATATTTAGTTTAATATTAGATGTTTAGGGTGCGGATTATGAAATTTAGAGCAATTTTGAAATTTCAACTCATATATGAACTGAAGATCAATTCATTATTTATTAATTTTGTTGAATATGAAGAGACGCAAATTTGAAAGACAATTTTGTAAAAAAACCATAGAATTTTTGTGAGCTGTTAAAACAATTGTGCTCATTAAAGTAAGATGCTTAAAGAGAAATATAGTTTAAAAATGCTACATTATGGTTCAAATGTATGATTATAACAATAATTATTGCAAAAAATACACAAGTAAATAAGATGCTTAAAGAGAAATATAGTTTAAAAATGCAACATTGTGGTTCAAATGTATGATTATAACAATAATTATTGCGAAAAATACACAATTTGATCAATGGGATTCTTAAAATGAATACATATTATCAATATTCATGGATAAAGAGTTTTTTGTTTTTTGTTTTGTTTTTGTTTTTTATTTTTTTTTGTCATTTTAGGTGAAACTTATGGTAGCCGTTGAATGTGGTTATTGGCAAGAGCTGCCGGACTTTCTCACTATTATGGGCAAGATGATTGTCACTTGGATAACATTGGATAAAAATTAAATTGACTCTATTGTAATTATTGTTTATTTTTCATAGATGACTTAGACGATTTTCAAATTTGGCATTCTAGGTGTTCAAACAATGAAATTTTTTTTTTTTTTTTTTTGTTGAAATACATCTTAAGATACTAGAATAATAAGGGAGTGATTAAAATTAGCCCATTCTGAATCGGGTATTATACAGCACGTTATTTTGGTTGGCGTGCAAATTTTGCATTATGGCTGTCCAAAAGATGAAATTTTGTTAAAATGTATCTTAAGCCATCAAAATACAAGTGATTGATACTACGTAATATTTAACCAATTTTAAATCGGGTATGGATCTTTCCTGGTCAAAACCCTATGATCGAAAATTGACGTCATATAAAAAAAGTTAACTCATCTACTCATAAAATTGTTGATAAGTAGTATTAAGATGCATCATTAAAAACCATTAGTGAACCTACTAATAAAATTGCTGATTAATACTAAGTACTAATAAGAAAGAGTAAGGTCCACCTTGTGAAAGTGTGGGTAAATTTTTTTATGAAATCAATATATAATATAAAAACAGAGTAAATATAGGGCTAATAAAAATATTTCTGACGAGTCCAGATTGAGCCTCTCCTGCTTTCATTCAAAATTTTCCCTGAGAAAAGCAATGTTTTTGTGTTTCCGTACATAACAGTCGCAGTACAATAGAAGAAGCCAGAGAAGAAATTCAGCAGTCTCCAGAAGAATCTCTATTATAGAGAGAGAAAATAGATTGAGAGAGAGAATGAAGGGAGGGAAGAAGAAGAGCGGAGCGACCAGTAGTTCGGAAGCATTACCAACTCCGATTGAGAACGACGGCGGCGGCCAAGCGTCGGACATGCCTCGGGACGGTGATGAGGGGGCGGCTGCGGCGGAGGACCAGGCTGAGCAGCATCATCAAGGGGATGGGGAAGGAGATGGAGATGAGGGTGAAGAAGAGGAAGAGGGAGAGGGAGAGGGTTACGATCAATTCGAAGACCTCCAAATCGAGGATGGAAACGATGAGGAGGCTGAGCGTCCCAAGCTTGCTGAAGGGTTTTACGAGATTGAAGCGGTGCGCAGGAAAAGGGTTCGAAAGGTCAGTCTCTCTCTACTCTCTCTCTCATCAATTAAACATCTTTTTTGGATTTATTAGTTGCATACATTTTTGTAATTTGCACATTTGCTTTTCCTGCTTTTGTGGGGTTCTGTCTGTGGATTGACAATCTCGAATGCTGCTTAAAAGGGGGAAGTCCAATATCTCATCAAATGGTGCGTGCTGAATTTATATACTACAAACACACACAATGCACACACACATATACATATACATATATATATATATATGTATATGTTTGTAAGCTTTTTACATCAAATAATTTTGATAAAATTTTGAAGAAATTGTTTGCTATATTAATCAACCAATGGATTGAATATATTTGTAGTTTTGATGATCTAATCATTTTAGATATATATTTTCTTTTAAATTTTCTTTTAAAGGCGAGGCTGGCCGGAGACAGCTAACACCTGGGAACCCATAGACAATCTGCTGTCATGTACAGACGTCATTGATGCATTTGAAGAAAGGTTCCCGTTCCCCTCCTTTCTTCCCAATTTACCTCCTTTTACTCATGTTGTAATTTTTATGATACCATTTATGTATTAAATGCATGTTTGATACCACTTTCTTTCATTTTTATTCGATTTTTGAAGCTTGAGATCAGGGAAGCATAGGTCTACACGTAGACGTAAGCGCAAGTATGGGGGTCCTCATTATCAACCCAAGAAGCAGCAGCAGCATTCCCCTGCTGCTGCTACTTATAATATACCTACTGTCCAGGTCAAGATTATGGATGAACCTTTGCCTTCTATTCCTGTGAATGTCTCGGTCATTGCCAATGAGGGGGAAAATAATGTTGGGGGTGTCAGCAATGCCAAAATAGCAAAGCAAGCAAATGAGAGTGATCCTAATATGGTTTCTCAACAAATTGAAGAAATGAACGACCGGAATGAATTGGATTTAAAGCTCAGTGAGCTTAAAGGAACAATGCCTACCAATGAGGGTAACGGGGATAAGTTTGCAATACATTTCCAAAGTGCATGTGCTTCAGAGGAAAATGTTGCTGCGAATGGTCTCTTGAAGGTTGATAATGTGGAACAAGGTCAAGCTGGTCGCTGCACTGGAGCTAAAAGGAGGAAGTCTGGTTCTGTTAAGAGGTTTAAACAGGATGCAGCCTCTTGTGTACCAAATGATGCACAAAATGCATTATCAAGAAGCACTGATGTCTCTTGTGGGAGAGTTACGCGGCAAAGGATTCAAATTCCTAATTCCATGGCGAATGATTTGGGTCTCAAGAATACCTATGATAATTCCATAAATATGTCTACCATCACTGAGATTATCAAGCCGATAAGCTATTCAGCTTCTGTATCAAACAATGTTCAGGACGTTTTGGTGACCTTTATGGCTAAGAGGTTTGTGACCCACTCCAACTTTGCTCCTAAATGTTTCTATGATTAATTTTGTCCTTCTATTTTTCTTTCTATGATACCTTATTGAAATTTAGTTTTTTCTAAATATTCCATATTTTTTATCACTTTAGTCAAGCGGTTGAGAAACATCCTATCGAAGAGCAATTTTCGATTCAATTGAATACTAAATCATCATTTAGTTGAGCATTTTTGATTCAATTTTCTAAGAGCAATTTTTTGTTCTTGGAGAACAGAACAGAATTTGAAAATTCATTTGGTTGACATAGTTAAAAAAAAAAATTCAAATTTCAGAGAACATGATTTTTTTAGTTATCTGAAAATTTCTTTTTGTTATAAGAACTCTTGAAAACAATTCTATTAGAATATTTTCTTCTGTTCATACAAAAGGATGAACAAACTTTACAAACCATTTCTAGCAGTTTTTTTTGACACTGCAAGATGTCCCACATGAATTGACAGGGTCCATAAAATTCAGCTCTAATTGAACATAATATAGTTGGATGTTAGGTTTTATATTAGTGGAATGTTGTTAAATTATATTTTTCTCCTGCCTTGAGGTCAATGTGATGAGATGACAGTTGTAAAAGTTTTTTGTTTGGTTGTGAACCATTTGTGATGTTGCCTAGAAATTTTTTTTTACTTAACACCAATTGTACTTTCTCCTATATATGTGGGCGGCTTATTTACAGTGTTGCCTTAAGAGTTATGTTGATACAATATATTAGATGATGCAAATATTATATTTGTGTGAATCACCTAAACCAAAATACACTTCCCTGTGAATTCACTTTTTAAAATTGGTGTGTTCATTTCCTTCAAGTTAATTTGAAGTTTCTTATCGTTTGTTATTATTATTATTATTGTTGTTGTTGTTGCATGATAGTGCTTACAAATCACACACTTCATGGTTCTCTAGTGGGTGCTTGAAGTAGAAAGGGGTTCCATTAGTTATCAATGTTAAACCATAAAGATATATATATATATATATTTATTTACGCATGACAGCTATTTCTTCACCAGTTCAATTTTAAGGACTTTGAAAAGAGTGGGTTGCTTTGTTAGGTCAGTAGGACTTTGTTTATGTTATTCAAAAACTAGTTTAGTTAGTTGAGTTATCTCCATCCAAGGTTAATTTGAAGATTTCAAATTATGCACTCATCAAATTAGGGTTCATATTCATGCATTCTTAGCATTCATACCTAGGGTTCATTACAAACTTGTTTCGATCCTAATTTTCTTTTTTGAACGCATAGAAGTTGTTTTTAAATGGAAAAAACCAAGCGTTCCAAGTGTAGGGAGGTTAATCAATCGAAGGATTGATGGTACTTCGCTGCACTAGGTTCGATTGAACAGTGCCGAAGGCAGTTTTCAAAGGGATTTTAAAATTTTAAAACCCTAAACTCTTTATCCTCCAAAGTCTATATAAACAATCCTATGTTTTCATAAATATATATGAGCATACACCAAGCATAATAGAGCATTGAGAGGCATACTAGAGTGCAAGAAATACATATTGTTATATTCATCATCATAGGAAGTGTTCTTAAGTGTCGATTATTTAATCCAAGTACTTCGTGCAGTTCAACACGTTACAATCCAGACAATCTACAAGTTCAGACGACTAGTAAAGGAGATTAATCATGAGTGGAAGAGCGAATAACGCGAGGAGTGGATTCGTAGATGGACAACATCAGTGTTTAAGGCAACTGCCATGAGTTTGGATCTATGTTAACTTGGGTGGTTTTAGAATATGATACCTAGGATTGTAAACCTCTCTTCTATAGTGGATTCGATCTACTTGAATTAGGTAGGGTTTCCCTGATGAGGTTTTCCACATAAAAGGTGGTGTTCTTGTGTGGCATGATTTCTTTATTTTCTGCACCATAACAATCTTTACTTGCTTGAGTTGGGAAATTTAAATTTTAGTTTTTTAACTCAGTTGTTTCTAACATGTGAAAAGTAGTTATTTTAGTTTTGGGGACCTATTCACTCTCCGTATAGGTCGGGGTTTTGCCTACTCTGAAGTATCATATCATAAGATGCTGGTCCTAACCCTTGGGTTAGGCCTTCTTTTCTCATATATTACGGGTTGTTGGCTAGGCCTTCCTTAGAGCTATTTGCTGCATTGGTGCCTACATATAGTGAAAATGGACAAGAATTCTAGTTTCATATGGACAAGAAGTTGTGTGGCGACCTTGTGGGCGGGTGCGAGGCACTGGCGTGCTACGGGTGCACGACCCCACATCGCCTAGGTGTGGAAAGTGGAAGTGCTATATATGTAGGATTGATACACTCCAAATGGTATGGGGTCTTTTGGAGTAAACACAAGACCAAAACCGTGCGGGCTCAGGCCCAAAGCGGACAATATCATACCTTGTGGTGGAGAGAGTCGTTACAAATGGTATCAAAGCCTAAGCCCAACCGGAAGTGTGGCCAACGAGGACGTTGGGCCCCTAAGGGGGGTGATTGTGGCAACCTTGTGGGTGGGTGCGAGGCACTGGCAAGCTACCATGTTGGCAGGCTACGGGTGCACGATCCCACATCGCCTGGGTGTGGAAAAGAGAAGTGCTACATATGTAGAATTGGTAATCTCCAAATGGTATGAGGCCTTTTGGGGTAAAATCCAAGAACAAAACCGTGTAGGCTCGGGTCTAAAGCGGACAATATTATACCTTATGGTGGAGTGGGTCGGTACAGAAGATGTTAGTAAAAGAGTTTTCACTTTAATAGTGGGTTGAAATTTAGAATCTTGCTAAGTATGACATAATTGATGGGGTAGAAGAAATATAGGTACAAAATACAAAACGCCAATAAGAAACATGATGGAAAGAGAAAGCAATTTAAAGAATGATGGTTGCAAAGTTTGGTGCACGGAAGTGATGGAAAATGACACTGATTGTAGTTGATACATTCTCCAAGGATGAAGTTAGCGTTTGATGCTAAATCTAAGATCTTTCTTGTTCTCTTCCTCATTTTGTGAGCATATCAGTTGGGAGACCATCTTCTTTTTTTTTTTTTTTCTTTTTTTTTTTTTTTACTGTTGTTGCTTTATCTATAAAAAGCATGGATGCTGGTTCATTGTCATTATTATTTGCACCCAAGTTGAACTAGAATGGGGTGTCATCAACCACTGGAAAGTGCATGTTAGAGAGAATTTTTGTGTGCTTCTGTAGGATGGTAGGAGTGGTCTCAGAGGTAGCCAGTTATATGTTGCCTTCTTTTCTTCAATCCGGTATTTGTTTTTTTCTTTTCCGATCACTGTTACTTTAGTTTTAAATAGCTAGTTATGAAGAATAATCAATATTTATTGCAATGCAATTATATGCATAAGTAGTAGCCACTTAGATAATTTCCATAACACAAGAGAATTGTAGATAGGAAAATTTTCACACATTGATTGTTCGATAAATTTAGTAATTATATACATGATTTACTACAGATTTTCTTTCCGTACTGTTCTTAGGCCATCGTTGCCCACATGGTCATTAATCACACCAGGCAAGTTTTAAAATCATATGATTCTCAAACCATCCCCCAACTAGGAATCATGAGTAATAGAATTTTACATGAATTTTACCATGATGTTAGCTTAAAGATTCTTAATTCTGATTGGTTCTGATATGGTGAATTGGTGATTATTATTATTAATTTTTTTTGATAAGTAGGATTTCATAAAAGGAGCTCAAGAGGAGAGCACTTTCGAAGAATACACAAAATGCCAAAGGCGTCAACTAAAGCTTTAAGCTATCCACAAAATCCAAAAAATCCCCCAAAGATTTACAATTACGCCCGTTAACCCAAAAGAATAAAGTATGCAGGATGCTATATTTGAGAGACCAAAAAGGAGTCTCCTCTCCCTAAAAAGATCTCCTATTTCTCTCACGCCACAAACCCCACCATAAACAAAGGGGAGTGGCCCTCCAAACGACCCTGACTCGACTCTCCGCAAGACACACTTTCCAAGCCTCAATCGTATCCAAAGTAGTTCTTGGGAACACCCAAGACATGTCAAAAGTGACCAAAATCATATACCAAACATCCCTCGCCACGCGGTAGTGGAGAAGGAGGTGATTAATTGTTTCCTCTGTCTTCACATACAACACCAATTAACCACGATCTGTGGTCTTCTTCTAAGATTGTTGAGGGTGAGAATGCTATGGAGGACAACACACCAAGCAAAGAAAGCCACCTTCAATGGGGGCTTTCGACCTCCAAATTGCCTTCCAAGGGAAAGAAGGACTTGGGATCACCGTCAGGCTATGGTAGAACGCCCCAACCTTAAACACCCCTCTTGGCGTGCCCACCCACACCATCTCATCCATCCCCACACCCTCCACAACCTGACTGTCGACCAAGGCAAAGAACTCAGCAACCTGCAAGCTCCCAATCGTGAAACCCTCTACGAAATTGCACATCCCAAGTTAATATTCATTATCAAGACGATAAAAGTCGGCAACCAGAGCATGTCTAGTTGAAGAGATCTTGAACAGCTGAGGGGACCTACGAGCCAGAACATAATCCCCGCACCACCAGTCCTCCCAAAAACATGACGTGGCTCCCGCTCCGAATCCTGAATCGAATACGTTTAGAAACTCATCCCGCCCTTCCGGATAAGTGTCAGATTGTGGTCTATTGGTGCTTCATGTGCAAGAATGACAAGGAAACGGTTGATCATATTCTTTTGCATTGTCCTGTGGCTCGAGATTGCTGGATGCTGATGTTAAGTTTGTTTGGAGTTCAGTGGGTTATGCCCAGATCTTTTAGAGACTTGATTGAGGCTTGGAGAGGTTGTACTGTGGGGGCCCAAGTTCGTGATCTCTGGAGGGTTACTCCTTTTTGTGTCTTGTGGTGTTTATGGCTTGAAAGAAATAGGAGATACTTCGAAGGAAAGGAGAATCTGATTGGGACGTTGAAGTTTTCTATTATTAATACTCTTTTTTGTTGGGTTCTAGGGAGATATTGTAAATCCTTGGAGGAGCTTG